CTAATATTACATAGTGCAGATATCTGCCTTTGCCCCTGGAAGATCTTATTCGTTAGTCTGGAGCAGTCCCTTCCTCTGGACAGACCTGCATTAAAGCATTCAGTTTTGAAATGTACCCAGTGAGGGGTTAATCATGACAACCTTCCTTCACTATGGCTTACTTTTTCTTTTAATTTTTTTTTTTTTTAAGACAAGTTCTTGCTATGTATCCCAGGCTGGCCTCCTCTCACAATCCTCCTGCCTCAGCTGGAATTACAGGCGTGAGCCACTATGCCCAGTTTAAAAAGATAATCTGTTCAGACTAAGAGAACCAGAAAAATGAGTCTCAGATCTAAACCTTTTCATCTCCTTTCTTTTTTCCTTTTTTGAGACAGGGTCTCACCATATAGTTCAGGCTGGCCTTGGACTCATTGCTGGGATTTCAGGCATGTGCCATCACACCTGGCTCATCTTTCTTAGCAAGAAGAAAATATTTGTTTTGTTTTGCTTTGTTTTGTTTTGGTTTTGAGACAAGGTCTTGCTCAGAACTCTAGGCTGTCCTTGAACTCACAGCAGTCCTCCTGCCTCAGCCTCCTGAGAGCCGGGATTACAGGTGTTCACCGCCACACTTGGTTGAAAATATTCTGTGTTACTGATTTTAGACATGTAAGACTTGGCCTGCTGGGTGTGGTGGTGCAGGGCTGTAATCTCAGCTGAATCAGGAGATCTTGAGTTCAAGGCCAACCCTGGCTACCTATCAAGCTGGACCATAGAGTGAGAACCTGTATCCAGAAAGCATCTGGCTTGTCCAGGTCTAGCGCTGTCATTTGGGATTCCAGGCCCCAGACCAAACCCAGGAAAGATGCATGTCCTCCGGCTCCATCAGGAGCTGTTCTTCCCAGCCCTGCTCTACTCAGCACTACTGGTTGAAGGCATCAGGGCTGCAGATCACAGAATATTAGCAACATGGTCACTGAAGAGCCTGCTGGGTTTTTGGTTTGGGTTTGTGTGTGTGTGTGTGTGTGTGTGTGTGTGTGTATGTGTGTGTGTGTCTTTTTGAGACAGGGTCTCACTATGTAGTTCAGGCTGGCCTTGGGCCCAGGCTGGTTTTAAACTCACAGTGATCCTCCTGCCTCAGCCTCCCTAAAGGCTGGGATTACAGGCTTGTGCCACCACACCCAGCATTTTAATTAGGAGTTTTTTGTTTTTTTCTTAACATGGAATCAAACTTGGGACCTCACACTTGCCAGGCAGGCACCGGGCTGCTGAGCTACATCCCGGGCCTTATCTCCCCCATAGGAAGCCCTTTGACCAGGCTGAATTCCCCTACTTTGTTTAGCCTCGCACCTGGCTCTGCCTGGTCTGAGCCGCTCTTCCCCGCTTTGCTGTGGTTATCTACCCTCACCCTCCTTCTGCCTTGTTCTCATTTCTTTGCTGTCCATCCTGCTCAGCTATTTATCTCTCACTTCTTTCAAGAAACTCACCACCGACTACCAATAGGATATTAATAAACCTTTCTAGTTCGTTTTTGCTTTTGTTTTTTGTCTTTTTGAGACAGGCTCTCCTAAGCAGGTGAGGCTGGGCTTGAGTTCCGTTTTTAGCCCAGGCCGGCCTCGCACTTGCAAGGATCCTCCTGCCTCAGCCTCCTGAGTGCTGGGATTATAGCTGTGTGCCACCACGCCTGGCCTATTTTTGTCTTTTTGAGACAAGGTTTCACCATGCACTTCAGGCTGGGCTCAAACTCACAGTGATCCTCCTGCTGGGATTACAGGCGTGCACCGCCAAGCCCAGCTTCTTAACTTTTTTTTTTAAACCTTTCTAGTTTGGGGCTGGGGATTTAGCTCAGCAGCACAGCGCCTGCCTGGCAAGCACGGGGTTATGAGTTCGATTCCCAGTACCGGAACCCCCCCCCTCAAAAAAACCTTTCTAGTTTTTGTGAGACTCCGTTGCTCTTGTCCCTTTTTTGATATTTCTTGAAGGGAAATACCCAATTTTGTGAGTGTCAGAACTTTCTGTCCTACTGAAGAGACATCTCAACTTCTTGGAGAATACCTGGTACATAGGGACCTGTGCATCCCCAGATGCTGTGAGCTGGGGCCGGAGGCTGAGCCCGGCAGGTTCAGAGGGGTGGTAGGGGTGCAGGCAGTATTGAAGAACTGGGGTTGTACTGGGGGTGGACCCATCCACTGGCAGCCCTCTCTGCAGAGAAGGCCTGGTTCGAGAGAGAGTTTTGGGTTTCCTTCACTCCCCGGTGAGATTATGCTAAACAGAGGGCAAGCAGGACTAGAAATTGGCCAAATCCTCCCCATGCTTTTGTTCTGTTAGACTGTCCTTCCCTCCCTTTCAAGGCTGTATCCCCAGCCTGTAATCTTTTATTTTTTTTATTTATTTATTTATTTATTTATTTTTTGAGACAGGGTCTTGCTTGAAGTTCAGGCTGGCCTTGAGCTCACTTTGTAGCCCAGGCTGGTCTCGAACTCACACAACGATCCTCCTGCCTCAGCCTCCGGAGTGCTGGGATTACAGGCGTGCGCCACCACACCCGGCTCAGCCCAGCCTGTCATCAAAAAGCAGCCTTTTTACGATTTCCTTCTGGTGACACTTTTTGCCTACAGCCGACTTTAAATCTGGTGATCACCGCCACTTTGTTCTGTGTTAATAGATTTACTCCCAAGTGATTGTAGATTAACTGACGCTGAGCAGATGCCGGAGCGAGGAGTACCATATCCGCCCTCCCTCCAGTCTTTTCTGGTAGCATTTTGTCTGTGAAACGAAGAGGCGTCAGTGGCTGCTTTCACAAGAGGGAAGGATATGGATGAGCTTAAAAAAGAAAAAAAAAAAAAAACACCCAAGGGGTGGAGAAAGCGGCAGGATGTGGTTTGAAGGGGGGCGGTGAGTGCCTGGAAGGCCGGGGGGCGAGGGGCGGTGAGGATGCCGAAGTCCTAGACCCCGAGGTCACACCGTCACGGAGGTCACCCGAGGCAGGTGGGGCCGGGCGCGTTCGCAGGCTCCACCCTTTGCGGAGACCGTAAAAGCCTGCGCCTCCCACCCGGTGATGCTGAGAGCGCAGCGGGCCGCGCGGGCTGCCGGAGGATCTTGCTACTGCCGCCTGCCTGGGAAGGACGTTTTGCAGGTTTTCTTGACGGAAGAGGTGGCTCTCACACCCCAACCCTAGCCCTTGCCTAAGACTCGCAAAGAACGAGGGCCATGGGGTACAAGGTAAGAGCGATGCGGGCACCGGTCCTTGGCGCCGCCTGGGGGGCTGTCGGAAAGGGACCCGACAGCGATCGCCCGAGTCTCCTGCAGCTCGTGGGGGGAAAGTCGGGGAGGAAGGGCTCTGCTAACCTCGGGGTTCGTATGCGAGAGCAGGGTGCTGGAGCGGGCCGTGCGCGGGCTCCGGGGCGGCAGGGCCGCTGCACGCACGCGCGGGACCGCGCGCATCCGGGCTTGGCCTGGGGGTGCAGGTCGGAGTCCAGCCTCTGCCCTCCCGGAGCGGGACCCTGCGGAAGAGGGTTCCCCTTGTCCTTACTGTGGCTGTGGTCGCGAGCGCAGGACACGCGGATTAGTGTTGCGTATTGTGTGATGTGCATGCAGTGCTTGTAGAGAAAGGCATTTTTAGTACGGTATTTTCATTTGGACATGAAGTTAGGAGCGGGGATGAAGAAAAATGGGACAGGAGGAAAGGCCCTCAAAGATGGTAGGTGAGGAGAGAAAAGGTTGTGAGGGTTAGGGTTTTTTGTTGTTATTGTTTTGGTTTGGTTTTTGTTGTTGTTGTTTGGTTTTTTTTTTTTTTTTTTTTGAGGCAGGCCGGGGGTCTCACTATGTAGCCCAGGCTGGCCTTGACTCACAGTGGTCCTCCTGCCTCAGCCTCCCAAGTGCTGGGATTACGGGTGTGGGCTATCACACCCGGCAGAAGAGGGTTTTAATAAAGGCAAGGATCTAACAGGGAGGCTTCACCTGGCAGGGTCCTCCCCCGGGACTTGGGCTGAGCTGGGACGAGCCGGCTGGGAGCCCCGGGAAGGTCGCTCCCGCGTAGCTCCCGGCCTGCCTGCATCTGACCTGAGAGGGAAGGCTGAGGTTGCAAACAAGGAAAGGTTGGGGGACAGTGGACCACGGAGGAGCCCCCTGAGGCCATTTCAGCGGGCAGCCGCTTGCCCTCGCAAAGGGATGACTCCCAGCAAGGTGAGAGCCGGCCGCCTGACTCCCCACACATCTCCTGACGTGCTGGAGGTGGACGCGGCTCCCTTGCTGGGGCCGGGGAGTAAGGGAGCCGCCCGGGAAGCCAAGCTCAGCGTTGCCGGGAGAAGAGCATCCCGCCCGGGAAGCGGCCACCCCTGCTCCGGCTTCCGTAGGGTCTCCGGCGCAGCCGATCTTGGTCTGCACTGTTTGCAGAAGAACTGGTTCTAGACCACCAAAGGCTGCCCTTCCCTCTGCCTACCCGGTTCTCGAGCACAGTGCTTGCCTCTACCTCCTACTGTAGAGTTTGTAATGTTTCTAAACCAGTTCCTATTTTAACTTCCACACAATTTTCAGAAATTTCATTAATTTTTGTCCTCTTCATACGCCTCATAGGTTAAATTCTAACACAGTAATAGGAGACAGTCATCAACGGAAAGGTTTCAAGGTCTCAGTGGGGGTGCTGGGAGACAGAAGCAGAAGAATCGCAAGTTCTAGCCCAGTAGGGCAACTTAACAATTTAGCAAAACCCGGTCTCAAAGTGCTGGGGAATGTGGCTCAGTGCAAAGGCCCTGGGTTCAGTCCCCAATACCACCCCCCCTAAAAATTATTTATTTATTTATGTATTGGTCTTTTTGAGACAGGGTCTCCACTTGCAGTTCAGGTTGGCCTTGAGCTCACTTTGTAGCCCAGGCTGGTCTCAACTCACTGTGACCCTCCTGCCTTAGCCTCCTGAGTGCTGTGATTACAAGGGAGTGCTGGGATTACAGGCGTACGCCACCACGCCCAGCTTAAAAAAAAAGAAAAATTAAGGACTTCTCTTCCCGCTGTCCTTCTACACTCAGGTGACCCCGTCGCTGGTCTTCGCTGTCACTGTGGCTGCAATCGGCTCGTTCCAGTTCGGCTACAACACTGGGGTCATCAATGCTCCCGAGGACGTGAGTATGAGGCCTGAGAATTACAGCTGGAAAGGGATGGGCCGGGGGTGTCATTCTGTCCGGCGTTTGCCTACCACGTGGTGGCCCTGGGGAGTTTAAAACTGTATTTTAGCTAATCTGGGCTAAGGCAGAAGAGGGTAAACATGTTGAGTCACTTGACAAGACAGAGAACTCATCATTTCCCCGCACGGTGAGCTGCGCGGCTCCTCTGACCCACGCCCAGAGTGACTGCGCTGCGCACGGAATCCCCGCGGGGAGGGCGGCCGAGGCTGGCGGACCACCCGCGCCGGTGCTGCCACCTGCTGGGCTTTCCGGGAACAAACCTTCCAAGCCGCTCTCGCAGGGCCCGCCCGGTTTGTGCGGATTTGTGCGGGTCTCGGTGTGTTCCATCCCCATCCGCCACGACCGGAGGGAGCGAGCCCTCGTCCCTCGTCCCTCGTCCCTCGTCCCTCGTCCCTCGTCCCTCGTCCCTCGTCCCTCGTCCCTCGTCCCTCGTCCCTCGTCCCTCGTCCCTCGTCCCTGCCCCGCCGTAACAGCCCGTCCTCCCACCACCCATTTTGTTTTGCAGATCATAACAGATTTTGTGAACAGCACCTTGTCGCAGAGGCTGAAGGAGCCTCCCAGCAAGGGGCTGCTGACCACCCTCTGGTCCTTGTCCGTGGCCATCTTCTCCGTGGGCGGGATGATCGGCTCCTTTTCCGTGGGACTCTTTGTCAACCGCTTTGGCAGGTAAGGAGCGGAGGCTGGCCAAGGCAGTGGACTGTACTGGTGGCTCAGAGGAGAAACGTAGGAAATTAGGTCAGGGAGGTGGGGGCATCTGAAGGAGCAACGGCGACCTGGTCCAGCTGGCCCCGACGGGACTTCCCTGGCGTGGCCTCCGCCGCGGAGCTTGGCTCCCACTCAGCCCTCAAGGGACAGGCCTCTAGCTCAGGCTGGTGCAGTGGCATTCCCAGAAACACTTTATTTAGAAGGTCAGAAGGGGCCGGGGATATAGCTCAGTGGCATAAGTGCATGAGATCATGAATTCAATTCTCGGTACCAAAAAAAAAAAGAAAAATAGAAGGTCAGAATTTACTTGCTTTTTCTTTAAAAGGGGGGAGGGGTCGTGAAGATCTTTTCACTGTTTAACATAGGAAAATTTTTTTTTATATACTTTTTCTTTTTGAGACAGGGTCTCGCTGGGCAATTCAGATCGGCCTTGAGCTCACTTTGTAGCCCAGGCTGGTCTCGAATTCACAATGATCCTCCTGCCTCATCCTCCTGAGTGCTGGGATTACAAGCATGGACCATATATCCAGCTTGTGCTAACCCGTTTTATTTCTGGTTTATCATGCTGTAGTTCTCTGCCTCTGGGGCTTAGCACACAAATGTGGCAGTTTATTTATACCTGTTATCAATATTAATTGTGAATGATATCACTATAGCCTAGAGAAAGAGCTGAAGTGGACTGCCTGGTTTTTTTTTTTTTTTTTGTCTTTTTGAGACAGTGTCTCACTATGCAGTTCAGGCTGGCCTTGAGCTCACTTTGTAGCCCAGGCTGGTCTCGAACTCGCAGTGATCCTCCTGCCTCAGCCTCCTGAGTGCTGGGATTAAGGCATGCGCCACCAATGCCTGGCTGCTAAAAAAAAAAACTTAGTTTAACTTTTTTTTTAGGGGTAGGAAAATTTATTAGAGAATAGGAGTAGCTCCTGAGAGACAGGAGGGTGTCCCAAATGGGTTGCCCGGATCTTAAGTTTTCTAGCTGAGTTTAATACATAAAGAAAGAGGTATAGGGCTGGGGATTTAGCTCAGCGGCACAGCACCTGCCTGGCAAGCACAAGGTCATGAGTTTGATTCCCGGTACCGGGAAAAACAAACAAACAAACAAAAAAGCAAGAAAGAGGTATAAAAGCTTGATTCAAAAAAAAAAAAAAAATAGTTCAGGTTACTCCAACTTAGTGTTCTGATAATAGAAAGTGGGAAAGGAATTTAAACCAAAAGCAGGGATGGGACGCTCCGGCCGGGAGGAGAGGGAAGTGGGGAACTGCCTGCTGCGTGCTCAGCGTGTCGCTGACGAATCTGCAGGCGCAACTCCATGCTCATGGTCAACCTCGTGGTCGTCGCCGGCGGCTGCCTTATGGCTTTCTGCAAGGTGGCCCAGTCCGTGGAGATGCTGATCCTGGGCCGCTTGATCACGGGCATCTTCTGCGGGCTCTGCACGGGGTTTGTGCCCATGTACATCGGAGAGGTGTCTCCCACCACCCTGCGGGGCGCCTTTGGCACCCTCAACCAGCTGGGCATCGTCATCGGGATTCTGGTGGCTCAGGTAGGTCCTTGGGTTTTCCACACTGAATGAATTCACAGACAGCACACTCGCGAATAGATGGGAACATTCCATGACATAGTTCGGATAATACGGTTACCAGAACTCAATGGATGGTAGTGAACAAAGCCAGCAGAGTAGAAAAACGAAAAGAAAATTGTATCTTTTTCTGTGTTCTAAAATGGTGGGTCTGAGCCTGGTGGCACATGCTTGTAATCCCAGCACTTGGGAGGCTGAGGAAGGAGTAGGAAGGAGTTTGAGGCCAGACTGAACTACATAGTGAGACCCTGCCTCAAAAAAACCCAAAAACAACAAAAAAGAATGGATAGGGGCTGGAGATTTAACTCAGCAGCACAGCGCTTGCCTGGCAAGCGC